CGCGAGCTTCCGCCCAGCGGTCCTGCTCCAGCCGCGGGACAGAACACGTGCTCCGTGTCTGTCCACTGAGCTGCACGGTGCTCCGGGAGGGCGGGGCCCAGCCAGTCTCGAAGGACACTGTGTCCCCACAGCACCCAGCGCTCGGAGGGGATAAGCCCGCGCTGAGTCAGCAGGTCAATCTACGCCGCTGTGACCCCTTGAGCCTATACCTGGAGCAGAGCTTCGCATTGCACACATTCCTTCAAGCTCTAGGTTTCCTCTCTGTGTCTGAAACAAAGGGAAACTGATGCTCACAGGACCGCGTGTGCACTGTCTGAAGGTGCAGACACTCGGGGAGGCGGGTCTCTGCGTGGACGGGACGGAGCCGAGCAGGCCCTGGGAAACCAAGGGTATAAAGGACCCGCTGTGAGGAGGAGGAAGGGGAGGAGGGTGCTCAGCTTCTGAGGAGCTCACGCTGAGGGCGAGCACAGTGGCTCACTTACCCCTCGGTCCAGAGCACACGACCCCTCAGCCCTGGCAGGGACCCGGTAAGAGGATCACCCGTCCCGACAGCCCTGTGGGTTCCAACATCTGTCGCCTGCTGCCCAGATGTGTTCATGGAGAAGCATGTCTCCGGCCCTCCAAAGGGACACTGGGCCGGGACAGGAGGGGACAGGTCTCGCGTCTTGCCTCACTTGGCCCAGTCGTACCCGGAAGCCCTGACTGAGTGCCTCCCAGAAGCCCACGGCCCCGCCAGGGCGAGGATGCTGTGTGGGTCTCTCCGTGTGCACATGCTGTGCGTGCACATGCGTGTAAGAGCCGAGCACACATGACGTCCTACCTCAGCTCCCACCCCAAGTAACCCTCACAAACTTCATACACGTGATTTGTAAGCAAGTTGTGCAAGACACTCAAAACACAAATGACAAAAAATATCATGAAAGTCACAGAAGTGCATTTTTTGCTCATATCCCTTCAGAATCCATAGTCCACACATAGTTATGAAAATAACACCCCCATTCCAAGCTCCTGGGAGACCAAGCCCCACAGAGCAGGTCTCAGCATGCTCTCTCCCGGTGACATGTGCTGAGAGCCATAGCCTACTGGTCTACCAGAGGTCAGTCAGATGCTGCTCCCACAGACTCCCGACCCACTCCCATCCTGCCAAAGGTTGGGTGGTGAGACGAAGCGTGGATGGCTTGATTGACTGATTGACTGATTAATTGATTGAGGGAGGGAGGCATTTCTGGGTGACAAATATGCAAAGGCCATCTCTTTCTCGAGTCTCCCTTGTGCCAGCCTCAGCTTCACCTCCCTGGAGAGCCAAGTATGATGGCAAGTCTCCGAGCCCAGCAGCAGCTCTACATGAATAGTCAAATGTACGGTGTCCAAAACCTAACTTCACAAATTATTAGACTCTGGCCCAGGGCTGTTCACCGGCCACACTGAGATTTTGTAAGTCATGAGAAATCTGCCAGGAAATCCGTACCTCAGACGAACGCACCCCTAGACCCTGCCTCCAAGTATACACAGCGGATCAGGAGAGCCACACCTGTAGGTGAGACTTCCTTGGTGACCAAATCCCCACAGCTATGCACGTCCTCCCTCCATGCTCTGTGGTTGGCATGCTGTCGGCAGTTGCTATTACGCCGGTATGTTATTATAGTCGCTCTTTGTTGTTTTGAGTAAAGAAGGAAAGAACCTTTCTTACTAAATATCGCAAGGCTGCCCTATAATTTGGTGACAAATTAACACCACTTTGAGAAAACAAAACTGAAAACCAGCCCGATCAGCAATTAATTTACCATCCAAACTTCAAGGGAGCTTTCCTCGGCCGGTTCTACACGTTTCTGGTTCTTTTACATCCAAGAATACATTCTCACACATTTATAGGATAAGACAACAAACTAATAAGATGGCAATTCTCACTCCGATGGGCAACATCAACCACCAGGTGGCTAAAACTAGGAGCAGATTTTATTATTACGTATTACTGGGCCCAGGTGTCATTACTTGCTGGTATATTGAGAACCGATACATTTATTTTTAAAAATAGGAAAACATGTAAAAGTTAAACGTTCACAGATAGGATGTGGGCAAAGTCATCTCACACCGCGTTTGCCAGGCTGCCATGTGAGGGCAGGGCATCGTCCGGAAGACACTGTGGCCCTCGCCCTACAGAGCAGCTCTGTGAATTCACACTCCAGCGATGGCAGAGAACCCCCATGACACCCTGCCGGCACCTGCCTACGAAACAAACCCAGGAGGGCAGAGTCAGCGCTGGACTCGAGGGTCCAAATAAAAGGGAGCCCAGAGGAGGAACCTAGGAAAGGCTCACCGGGCAAAGAAACCCCATTCGGAACTGCTCTCAGGATTTCAAATCGAGTATCACAAGCTCAGAAGGTGCACAGTCTCAGGGGTTCCTGCTTGTTTTTCACTCTGGGGCCTTTTGTGTTGCTTTGAAAGAGAATGATTTGCCGGATAAGAAGAAAGTGAGAAGCCTCAGCTGTTCTATGAGACCATCTTAAGTGGCCCTCAGAAGTCGGATCAGGCAGTAGTGGCTTGAAAATCAATCTCACTGTTTGGAATCTGTTTGTTTCCTTAAAGGGGGAGGAAAAAAAAGACTGATGAACTGATCACGGGCCAATCATCAAAGCAAAAACTTCTGGCTAAGCTGCCATGATATGGCCCTGCGTCTGCCAACACTAACCACTCAGGAGCTGGGAAAACAACTTTTTACTTTTCCTCACATTCTGATCTCCGGGGAATCGAGGGGATTAGGTGCCCACAGGGGTTTGCCCCCCACCTCCCCACAAAAAGGTACAACAGCAGGGATGAAGTAGGAAGGGGCTGTTTTGTTTTGTGTTTTTTTTAAATATATTTTTAAATATATTTTTATTGAGTTCAGAGAGGAAAGTAGAGGGAGAGAGAGATAGAAACATCAATGATGAGAGAGAATCATGAATTGGCTGCCTCCTGCACACCCCACACTGGGGCTGGAGCCCACAACCTGGTTATGTGCCCTGACCGGGAATCGAACCGTGACCTCCTGGTTCATAGGTTGACACTCAACCAGTGAGCCACGCTGGCCTGGCAGAAGGGAGTTGTTTCTGAGCAAAAGCAATGAAAGTGTGTGAGCGCTAGCAGACGAGCAGTGACAACCCCTGCTGGTACTACGCTTATTTCAAGCCAGGAACTGTTCTAAGCGCTTCCCTTAGTCCTTAAATCCCCACAACAACCCCACTGGGCAGGTACGATTAGTGCCCCCTTTTATCCATCAGCAACAAAGGCACAGAAAGGTTAAGTCACCTGCCCAAGGTCACACAGTGAGAAAGTAGCAGAGCCAGGATGTGATCCCGGACACCCACCAGCTCTCAGGTCCATGCTATGGGTTACCAGTCTACTCCCTCATGCAGGCAGCCACCCATTCACACCTGCATCGCTCCTGGACTGTGCTCCACGTCGAGATGCAAGGTGAGCCTCACACGGCCCACGGAAAAGGCGGGACACGCAGAGGGTAGGGTCCTGTGTGAGTGGGGCTCCCACAGAGGATGCCCAGCCCAGAGTGGGATTGGGGGCGACTGCCCAGCCCAGAGTGGGGTTGGGGGCGATACCTGCTCTGGATCTTGGACACACAGACAAGCAGGCACGGGGCATGGAGAGGGGGGAGGTCAAAATGTAAGGGCAGAAAAAATGTGTCCTCTCAAAGGAAGTTGGCACAGCGGTACCACAGGTGGCAAAGGGTGGGTATACCCAGGCGATGCCTAGGGGGCAGGAATAACATCATGAAGGGCCTGTGGCCTGGCTAAGGAGTGTGGGCTTATGGGAAATTCTACAATAAACAACTGAGGAACTTTACACCGAGAAATAAAACAATCAGATCTGTTTTCCCTGGGCCACTGCCTATCGCCAAGAGACTGGCTGGGAGACTAGTTGGAAGCTGTTACTGTTTCTAAACTGTATCAGAGGCTGGAACCGTGTAACCCAACGAGCAGGTGTGGGCAGCACCTGACCCAGCTGCCCCCTCCTGGGACTGCCCTGCAGACTGGAGCTCCCCAGGCCTTCCTGGGGGCTGTGCCCGCAGGTTACGTCCTGATACAGAATCTCCCAGTTAAAAATGCTCAGAGCAGCACCTGCTCACCAGGAAGAAGCCAATGCCCGCCCTTTCCTCCCTACCCTCCTCGCCCCTGCCCGCCTCGCCCCTGCCCGCTGCAGAAATTCTCACCTTAATCACCTTGGGAACGTCCCTCTTTCTGCTCATTAGAGTTCGCTTACTTTCCCGCAGGGAGGTTAGGCCTTGCCTGCCTCTAAGCCCAGAGTATTTGGGAAGGATTAGGGTTCTCCGTGCAATGCGCATTCCTGGCCCAAAGGCTTTCGCAAGCGGCTTTTTAAACAAAGACCCTCCTGTGAGCTCCAGGGCCGGACCCAGGATGCCTTGTAACCGGCCTATTGAACTGAACGCCCTCAGCCGGTCTCTTACAGACGGTCAGACAGGTCAGCGCTCTCTTCCCATTTGAGGTGAGGGTGACAGCGGGACAGCGAGGCGGCTCCGGGGAGTCACGGCTCCCTCTACTCTCCCCAGACAAGTGTTTAAACGGTCGGTCAATATTATCATTTAAATAGAAGCCCGTGTTCCTCCCAAGCAGACCTCATGGATCCCACCAAGGGGGCCCCTCGCGGGGCTGTGACATGGCCAGAGGCCCTGGCGCCGCTCCCGCCTCCACCCACCAGGTTGCATTGTCCCCGTCATTTTCAGCGCTTCCTTTGCAGAAACCGCTCTGAATGCCAACAGGGCTTGTCGCATTTTTTTAAAACGAAGTTAATTCTTCAATAACCTCCACCCGCCTCTGCTCGCAAACCAGCCAGTCCTTCCAAACCCGCTCCTTTAGCTCCTCCAGGCGCCCGGGCGGCCCCTCCCGCCCGCGGATAGGAGCGCTCAGGCGGGTCCCTGCTCCTCCCTCCGCGCCCGGGAGACCAGGACCAGCTGGGCGGGGCCGTGGGAGCTGGGGAGGCGAGCTTACCTTCACGAAGAGGGTGATGTCGTGCTCCCGGCCCGGGGTCCCCTCCTCGGACGCCTCGCCGTCCTCCCCGCGGCCATTCACCGGCGCCGCCTCCTCCTCCGGGGCGCCCTCCTCCGCCAGGTGGTTGCTGAGCTCCGTGGCCCCGGGCCGCGCGGGCGCCTCCCCGTCCTCGCTGCCGTCGGCGGCCCCCTCCTGGCCCCCGGCCGCGGCCTCCTCGCCGGCCCCACCCGGGCCGCGCACTGGACTCTCCTCCGCCGCCGCCTCCTCCAGCTCCTCCTGGGGCACCCCCTGGTCCCCGTCCTCGCCAGCCTCTGCCCCGGCATCCCCGGGGGCCGCTTCCTCCGACGCCTCGGTCCCCGGGGCCCCGCCCTCCTCCGCAGCTCCCGCCTCTGCACCCCGAAGCTCCCCGACCAGCGCCCCGCGGCTGCAGCCCTCACTCTCCGCCGCTGCCTCCATCTGGGGCTGGGGACCGCGGTGCCCTCCGCCCGCGGGCTCGCCCTCGGCCCCGGGTGCCCCTCCCGCCGGCCCCCCGGCCTCCACCCCGGCCCCCGGCGCGGGCCCGCTGCTCCCCGGCCCCTCGGGGCCCCGTTCCGCCGCCGCCTCTGCCCCGGGGGCCGCGGGGTCTCGGGGCGCCCCCTGCGCCTCCCCCCGCGCCTCGCCCTGCGCACCGCGCCCCGGGCTCGCCTCCTCCGCCGGCTCCGGGCCGCTCGCCTCCTCCCCGCGCCCGGCGGCCTCCTCGCCCTCCCGGGCGCCCTCCGGGGCCTCTGCCTCGCCCTGCGCTCCGCTCGCTCCCCGCGTCTCAGCCCCCGAGTCGCCCGCACGCCCTCCGTCGGGCCCCGCGCCTTCGCCCGCCTTCAGGCCGGCCGTCGCGGCTGCGCCCTCCCCCGCGCCCCGCGGAGCCCCCCCGGGGCCCCCGCGCGCCTCCTCCCCCGTCGCCTCCGGTCCCGCAGCGCCCAGTTCGCCCGCTCCGCCCGCCGCAGGGGCCGGGCCCTCCAGCGGCCCCAGGGCACCCGGGGCGCCCCGCGCTGGCTCCGTGGCCTCGGCCATGGCCGCGGATCCCTGTCCTTGGCCGACGACCCTTCCTGAGGCTGCTGCGGGGCCGGGGGCGCAATCCGCTTTGGGTGGCGGCCCCCGGGTGCGCCGGGCGCGGGGAGAACCCGCGGGGCCCGGGACGCTGCGCCCTCCGGGTCTCAGCTCCTCCACCGGCCCCTGCCCGCTCCGCGCCCGCCCGCCCGGGCCCTGACTCCCGCCGCGGGTCCCGCGCGCGCTGCGGCCGCACCTGTGAGCGCCGGCCGCCCGGGTCTGACCCAAGTCCTCCCGCGGCGCCGTCCAGGGGCGGGGCGGGGTTTGCTCCCCACGCCCCTGCCCCCCGGAGCCCGGCCAATGGCGGCCTTGCTCGCGGGTCCAGCGGATTTCAGCGCAAAGAGCCTGGCTCTACCCGCCGGCCTCTCGGTGTGTCCTGGAACCGCTTTCAGTTCAGAGACATCTAAGTCACCCCAACGCACCCCATCCGAATCCCTAGGCCCCACTGGGCCCCCAGAGCCCAGCGCTCACCCCACTGCGAAGCCCAGGTCCCGCCCGGGTCCGAGGGTGAGGAGGGAGGTCCTGGGGGAAAAGGGAGCGGCCACGCCCCCCTCCATCTGGCAGACCCTGGGGTGGGAGGCGCACAGAGTCGGGGTGGGAGGTGCGGAAAGGGACAGCAAGGAACCTGACAAGCTCAGGGGAGGCCTGCGTGGCAGCCTTGCAAACTCAGACCCGAAGTAGCCACAAACGATGGTCTGAAGTTAAAGCTTTTCTATTAAAAACTGTCTATGGCGGGTAGTCAGTCCTAGGCCGGCACCTTCCCTGACAAAGGTCAACTTGGATCTTAGCCTCTTGTCTCTTTGCATCCAGGTAACACACCTTTGGGAGGTCGGGGTAAGGGGCGGGGGCGGGGGGATGTGTAACTTCCCTTTTAACAGACCCTTCATGGCACAACCATGGCCAGGCCCAGGGCGGAAACCACAAACTCCCCCCTTGTCCTTGCTATCCTGTTAATTGTTGACTGTTAACCACCCTGCACCCGCCCATGTAGAAGGTGTCCATCATTTCACTTTTATCCAATCCCAGAGGTCCCCCCTTTGCTTTCTCCCACCTCCCTCCTCTACCACCAGTGGTTCTCATGTACCCACTCAGCACCTCCTCCTTGGATGGTAATTTGTGAAAACAGGTGAAACCACCTTCCCGGGAGCACTCTCCATCCTCTGAGATTCCGCTTCCTGGCAATTGTCAGTTTGGCTCAATAAACTCACAAAAATTTGTTACAGGTTTGAATGTTTCTTCTGTTAACAGAAGCAAGAGGAGCCAGCTGAGCTGCTCTGATGGGGTCCCTGTGGATGGGGGCCCCTCTTCCCATGTGAAGAGCCCACGGGTTGGGGGGCTGCCCTGGGGGAAGGCTCCCCGAGGTCTAAAACCCGCACCCGTGCTCCCATCTCCGAGCTGTGTGTTGGGAGTTTGGGGAGATGGCGATGGGGGGTGGGGGGTGAAATACAGGATTTGAAGGGGGGGTGGGCTGTGGAAATCACCAGGTTAGGAATCTCCCGGGAACACAGACCGGACATCGTGTCCCTAAACAGGGAAGTGATGCCTAAAATCACATAGAAAGTTGATGAGCCAGGCCAGACCCTTGGGTCTCTGCAGGAACGGGTGGCCCAGGGCGGCCCAGTCTGAAGGTGGCGGAGGAGGGGGTCCCTGAGGACTGACGTGAGGAGCCAGGCTCTTGGTGGCTTTGGTGCTGCCCTGAGACCCAGCAGCGCTCCCTGTCCACGCCCTGTCCACAGAGGGTTCCGTTACCGTAATGATCAGGGTGTCTCGAGAGGTGGACACATTTGGCAAATCACCAGATGCCGCCTTCTCATTCCCATGGCTCATCATCGATGGCGACAAGGCAGAGCCCACTGTCCCCCAGATCCAGGCACGCCCTGAGGACGGGTGTTTCAGAAGAAGGAACCCCTAGGAAGACGACTGGGTGCTATTAGTGCCTGAAACACCTTCATATTCCACAGGGACAGGCTCCCTCAGGGGACAGGTCTAAACCCGACTCGCTTCAGGGTCCCCAGGTCAAGTTCACCACCAAACGAGTTCTGGTCAGCCTGTGCTGCTTCCAGGTGAGGTCCGCTTTCCGAGCCTTTGGGGTTTCCAAGTGCGTATAAGGATTGTTCCCGTGGCCCGTGGACAGGCTCCGGGTTTACTGGCGCTGCTCGGAACCCCCCGAGATTCCCCACATCTGTCAGCTTATTCTTAACAGCCAACCGACGGCCCCCAAGGCTCTGCTTCCACAAAGAAATGAGTTCAAGGCACCTGCCTAGGTGAGCAATAGTGTCCCATCAACTTTTCCTCGGGCCACGTGGACAGACACGTCCTGCCAGAGGAAGGCTGGCATCTCTGGAAACACCTCCAACTGAATCAGCCACGAGGTGATTCACTCATCATCTTAATTAGACAGTTAACTGGTGAGTGCAGGCCTGCGACAGGCGGCCGCTGGCTGAGAGCTGGCTGGGGCATGTCCTTGTAGAAAACAGCACTGAGAAGGCCTATTCTATCCTGGCCACTGGTCCTAGCCACAGGTCCTGGCCACGGGTCCTGGCCACCAGTTCTGGCCACTGGTTCTGGCTACAGGCCCTGGCCACCACTCCTGGCCACTGGTCCTGGCCACCAGTCCTGGCCACGGGTCCTGGCCACCAGTCCTGGCCACCAATCCTAGCCATGGGTCCTGGCACCGGTCCTGGCCACTGGTCCGCATGCCACAGGAGGCCCTTTGGACTCACCCTTTTGTGCTGTCTGGGGCAGTTACTCAGTCAGCACTGGCTCTCAACACAACATCGTCCCATCTGGACCATGGAAAGCAGCATCTGCTACTTTTCAGTGAGTGTCTTAGGAAGCAGTTTTCATTCTGATGTTACATAATTCTGCAAATTTCCGTTTGATTTCCTGTAATTAAACAAATGTATTTGTCTAGCCCTGGCCAGTAGCTCTGTTGATGAGAGCACTGACCCAATACGCCAAGGTTGCAAGTTTGATTCCCAGTCAAGGCACTAGAACAGTGGTCAGCAAACTGCGGCCCCTTGAGTGTGGCTCTTCCACAAAATGCCACGTGCGGGCGCGCACATACAGTGCGATTGAAACTTCATAGCCACACTCAAGGGGCCAAAGAGCCACATGTGGCTCGCGAGCTGCAGTTTGCCGACCACTGCACTGGAAGAATCAACCACTGAGTGCATACATAAAGTGGAACAACAATTCAATCTCTCTCTCTCCCCCCTTCTCCTCTCTCTCTGAAATCAATTAATTAAAAAAAATTAATGCATTATTTTTTAATGATTTTAGGCTCAAAGCTGAAAATAGGGAAAACAGAAAATAACAGAGCTCTTTACAATTTATACAGATCTACAGAGATATATAGTGGAATATATATATATATATATATATGAATATATATCCAATTTTCTTAGCCATTCATCCACCGAAGGATGCTTGTTTCCGTATCTTGATAGCAACAATGCTGCAATGAACACGGATACACACCTACGTTAAAACACGACTCCTACACTCTGTCACCCTTTCTGCCTGGTATTTCCCCGCAGTAGTCATCGGCGTATGACGCGGACTATACGGTGCCTACTCATGGCCTGTCTCCCTCATCCACCCCCTAGAACGCGGCTCTGAGAAGCCTGGCGTGTGTTGGTCACGCTGGGAACAGGTGGGAGCTCGAGAAACACACGCCGAGTGAATGAATACACGCAGGCTTCCCTACGTGGATCCCCCTGAACCCATTTTCAAAAAATGCTTTTCTCCGTCGGTTTTATTCGCTGTGGAACAAGCTAATGTCACAAGACACGCTGTTCAGGGAAGTTTTTATCTACTGACTTTGGTGACTACTTCAGCAAACACTTTTAATTATTAGCAAAGGCCAAGCCAGTTCATAGAAAGGAACACAAAGGAAATAACCAAATACATAGAATCGTGAAGGTCACCGTGGAGTCGGAGAGATTTTTTGCACGTTGGGAGCTGGGCGGCCAGCACCAGATTAGCTATTTCAGTGCCAAGGAGGGTGACCCAGAGGTGGCAGACCGCGGAGGGGCGAGAGGCCACTGCTGGTGACCAAGTGGCCCCTGTAACTGCAGAGTGTTCCTACCCGATGCCACGGAGGAGCCGTGAAGCGGGGCCCCAGGGGACTTACAGTTTCAGGTCGTCGTTCTGGCTGCTTTTCCAGGATGAATGGGCTCAGCCCACAGGGCCCCTCCCCGCAGGCCTCCCGGCCGTGCCCTTGGGCTTATGACCAATCTATGACATTCAGACCAGAGCTTATGGACGCCCCCCCCCCACCCCCCGCCACCCTCCCCACCACCCTGCTTCCTCTTCCAGCGGGTCTGCCTCCTCAAACCTGCCCCCCTCGGCCCAGCCAGGGGTGCTCACAGGACAGCGGTCCCGGGGTACCGGCCCTGGGAAGGGGGCTCTCGCTGCAGAAACGGCCTGAGTGAGGAGGCAGGGACCGGAGCACAGGGTTAGCGCCACACAAGTTCCTGAGGACAGGACAGCAGCCCACGTGAAGGTGCCATGGGGCCCGGCCGGCGTGGCTCAGTGGTTGAGCGTCGACCTATGAACCAGGAGGTCACGGTTCGATTCCCGGTCAGGGCACAGGCCCGGGCTTCGGGCTCGATCCCCAGTGTGGGGCGTGCAGGAGGCAGCCGATCAATGATTCCTTCTCATCATCGATGTTTCTCTCTCCCCCTCTCCCTTCCTCTCTGGAATCAATAGAACTATTTTTTTAATGTAAACTGGATAACATCACTCCCTGCTGTTCCCTCTGAGGCTCCGCTGTGCCTCTCGCCTCCCCTCCTTGGTCTGTCACCCAGAGGCGTGGAGGCTGCCTGTCCCGGTCCCTTCAGACCCCTGGCCCCGCCTCACTGCCCGCTCGCTGCCCCGCACTCAGCTAACCCGGGCCCTGCCCAAGCCCTCGCGCCCTCTCCACGGAGCTCCTTCCGGCTTCTGGCAGGTCCCTGCCGGCCTCGCCTCCTTGAAGCCGCCCTCCCGGACCGGCCTGTGCACAGTCTCTCCTCATCCCCACCCCACCCCCTGCTCAGCTGTTGTCTCTGTGGCTCCTGGGCCCCAGGCGCAGGGAGCCTCCTGGTCTCTGGCCCCGCCAGCACCTGGAACAGCGCCGCCTGCAGGCGCTCATCGCCTAGCAGCAGGCATGGCGATGTGGGTACCAGGAGACTCTGCGCTGTCTGAGCTGACCAGGCGTGTCAGGACCGTCTGCACAGCCCATGTCAGGACCGTCTGCA